CAGGACGGCAGCACCCTAACCTACCCTTGACCCCCGCTCACAGCACAGATTTGCTTTTCTAGGCAGTGAAACCAAGGGGTAAGACTGAAAGGCAGGAATTGAGCCTCAAAGCCTGGACTGGAAACCAGTCTCACGGAGGGATGGTTGGTGCTGCCTGCTGTTTTCAGCTGCACAAGTAGCATATTTTACCCTTCTTTGGTGTCATTTGGGGGCCTCAAAGCATTCAGCAAACATCCATTATAGCTAAGCTTTGACAGCCCTGAGAGCTGAGGGTCATTTTTAATCTACAGATAAACAAAGGAACTGAAAAGCCTCAAATCCATCGTGACGGCAGCAGCAGAGCCTGGATCTTCCTCCTGAGGTGATGGGACACACGGCACATCTCTTCTAAGAGATAACAAACACCTGCACCCCGAGGAAGGGTGTAGTACAAATAACCCCATCACAGTCAGAAGCCAAGCCGTGTGGAAGTACAGTTCTGCTGCAATGAGACCCAAAGCAAGGCTGTGCGAGGTGGAAGCAACACATCTGGGAAAAGAGGAAGCGGAGTGGAAGAGGGCTTTGTCAAGCCTGGGGCAATACACACAGGAAAATCGACTGAAATGCGGCGCACCGGTGCCAGGCTGGGCCCAGCAATGCCCTTTGCAAGGCGTTTGATGGGAGGAGGAGGTGCAGGGTGTCACTAGCAGAGCTAAACCCCCCCCAGGAGGCATTTCACACGCTGGCTGCATCTTTCAGATGCTGCTCCTCAGGGCAGGTCAGCCGTGAAGCACAGCAGAGGCTGGTTTCCAGCCATGGGTACCGCACCGCCTCCAAGCACAGCGGGGCTGCTCCAGCCAGACCAGAGCTGCAACCACAGGAAACCCAGAGAAAGCAGGGTATCTGTGCAGCGAGGATGACCTTCAGCTTTCAGAGCATCGCTTCCTACCTGCCTGCATCCCCCTCTCTCCCCACAAATGGGGAGGACGTGGTAGTTGTGCTGCCTGCTTGAGACGAGCAGCAAGGGGACAGAGCAACGGTACAAACGGCCAAGGCTGCACCTCCAAGCCTCTCTGCTGATTTTGCAGCGAACCCTTCCCAAGCATCCCAATCCTCGTGTGCTGTGCTTACAGGAGGGGTTCACAGCCACAGCCTCCGCATCCCAGAGCTCGGAAGTAAATGGAGTAACCTTGAGGCTGTGCTAATGCTGGGAGCCAGCCTGAGCTTCCCTCCACCTTCCAGTCTGACGGTTACAGGAATTAGGTTGTTCCTATGGCAACTGGCATATCAAAGAGGCCTCTGCAGCTTTGACTCAGCTGGTAAGGAGGCAGAGGCCAGGCAGCAGCTCTGCAGATTAATGCTTCACTGGGAAACGCGGGCACGTCCTTCCCCCGCAGCCTCCGCACCACCGGGCAGGGAACCCTGCACATCCAAGCAAATCCCAGAGCAGAGCAGTTTGGGATTGCTCTGGTACAGCACCGATTTGCAGTGCCCAAATGGCATCCTGGCCCCCAGGGAGCAGCACCAGGGAGAACAGGCTGGGGAGGCAGACAGGCTTTCAAGTAGAAGGGAAGAGCTTCAGGGACCTGCTGCCAGACACGGCTCTGGTGCTTCAGAGTGAGGAGCTGCGCCACGTGAAGTGGAGGTTAAACAGAGAACAAACCTCGCCTTCCTAAAAGCACTACAGAGCTGACGAGGTTTCCCAACAAATCCCAAAGCCAGCACAGGCCTTCGGCAGCCTGTGGGGCTGTCTGACGGTCACACCTACATGTTCTGCTCCGGTGCTGGCACTGACAGACAACAACAGGCAACAGGAGTCGCCTGCGAGACAACACTCTCACCTCTCGGGCTCGCCACCTGACGTTCGCGAACAACCTCCCACGTCGCTGCGGTTGCGGTGACGAACCCCAAGCCAAATGGCTTTGCCTCGCACAACACAGAGCAGGTGAGGAAAGAGCTGGGAAGCACGATCCAACGCTCGCTCTTCACTTGTCATCCTGGTCCCCACCACCAGCCAAGCAGCAGCGAGTGTACCTGCAGGTGTGGAAGAGCTTTCCCACTTACCACATCTTCAACGGAGCTCTGGTCCTCTCCGAGGCGATCCTCAGCCAGCAAGGAGAGCACAAGCCCCTTAATGCAGTGAACATACAGGCACATCTTCACTGGTCTGCACTGTTTGCCTGGCTCCACACCAGCCTGGGTTTCCAGAGCGTCCCCCTGAGGTGGCCAGCCACTGCTCCTGGAACCGTGCGTGTCCTCTGCTGGGTCACCAGGCAGACCCTCCTGAACCTCTGCAGCCTGCAGCTGACCCCTGCTTTGAAGCTCTGACTGCTCAGCGGTGGCCGGACAACCCAAATCCTGCACAGTGCCACCGGCTGCACCGCTGCTTTCTCCAGAGACGCTGTTTTGGCTCAGAGTCCCTTGCTCGTCCTGTTCACTTGATTTCCTTCCGCTCAGCTCTTGGGCTGGAGAGCCAATAGCTGGGCTGCCACTGGTTGCATTGTAACTTTGGAAACTGTGCTGCTCAGCGTCAGAGTCCACAAGGGATTTCCTCATGTTCTGACTCTCCTGCTCCCGGGCGTAAGGGTTTGGAAAGGAAAAGCCTTCCAGATACAGATCTGTAGTTGGAGCATATTCAGCACTATGGGGTGTGGAAGGGCTTGGCAGCTGCTCTGTGTCTCCCTCTGATGGTGAGGGTGGTTTTCTGCTGAGCTCTGAGCTTTTGCTGTCTGCTCTGCTCAGTTCTGCAGTTGGAGAATTCTTTGTACTGGCTCCCATTTCGGGGAGGCCCTCCAAAGGGCCGGTGTTTGCAAGGCTGCCCGATTGCACAGCATCTTTCAGTGCAGCTGCACTTGGATCTTGCCGAGGGGACTCTTGCACAGCAATGTTATTCAGGTCTTGGTTTTCATGAACTCCTGTTGCTTCTGAAACTGCCTGGGAGCAGAGAGCATTCTTCTCTCCTTCAGGGCTTGCTGGGGACACGGATGACCTAGCAGGAGATGACAAGTTGATTAAACTACTGAGCAGGACCTGTGGGGCGTTATTGCATACCTAATCATGCTACCACCTCCTGGTAGTGTTCAATAGCTGGTCTGTTCTCTGCTACAAAGAGAATTTACCTCGGAAAAGGATGGGCTAAGGTCTAACACAGGTGAAAATCATGGGCTTCTTACACTGCAGGCTCCTAGGAACATCACTCCCTAGCTTACAAAGCAGCACTGCGAGCTGAGAAACTACTGAACATCACAGTTGGTCTTGGGAAACTGTTCTGCTTCGGGCTGCTTCACAACAAACACGGTCACCACAAATTCTGCCCAGGCTGAAAGACCTCGGGCAGCTTTAACAGCCAGATGAGAGAGTGTGAGTCAGTATCAGAGCAAACAGTAGCAAAGGCTAGCGAGGACACAGCGCCACGGGCTAGCAAAAGCCTCTCTGTGTGCCATACTGATTTCCTACCTAGTCATCCACTCCACTGGAAAGTCTCGGAGCACTGAGACTTCATCTTCTGTTAGGAACACCGGGATGATGCGGACACCCTGCGGCAATGGAGAATCTGCAAGAGCAGTGGAGGTTTAAGGATTAAATTATCATGCCCCAGCATAAAGAACAGAAGCCAGACTCCATCAGCCCAAAGGCTCCTGCAGGAGGAGGTGGCATGAGATCATCCCACATCCTTGGTCACCACAATCTGACCGCATCTGACTAGGCAGCATTTCCCATCCTCCTCATAAACTTAATGCCTGACACAGTTAAATATTCCCTTAGTGTTTTTTTTCTAAACATTCTGGCAGAATATCTATAAACTGACGCTTAGAAACGATGACTGAAGGTTGGAATGAAAGCAGCAGCCATCTGTTTTCAGGGCTCCGTCAGTGGCCAAGTAGGCACATGGGTAACCGGAATTAAAGCAGGCACACTGGAAATCTGCAGAGCTGACAATTAAACCCAAAAGAGCAAACTCCTTTGCTTAGCCAAAGGAAGGAACCAGTTCTGGCTACACAACACCCACTGGCACATATTGAGCAGCAGCAGCACCCTCAGGGACATACTCCTGCACCCAGGAAGAGCTTTGCGTGAACCCCAGGGCCCGTGCTCTCCCTGCAGAGGGTACAGCCCCAGTGGGTTGCCCATATCTTGCTGCTCTGCACTTGGCAATCAGATCTCTGCAGCTGGATGCTCACCAGGCTCCTGCTGCTCCTCACCTCCAGGCTGGCTCTGAAAGAAAAGCCAAGAATCAGCTCTGTGGCACAACTCCACGCTTGCCATCAGTGCCACCAGGACACTTCTTCCAGCCTCCTCAGCCTCTCTGTGACTGCAGCAGATCCCAGACCATCCCCTCCAGCAAATGCTGCGGTTGGTTTACTGTGCTGGGCAATGATTAGGTCCTTAGGTCACCCTCAAAGTCAAGGGGACTTCCCAAGAACCAAAATACACCTGAAAGCAAGGAGAAATACCACAATTTGCCATTGCTGCCTGCTCAGGGCACAAAAACTTGGTTCACTTAACCAGAGCAAGAGCAGAGGCGTTCTTTGTATTTGGATCTTTATGGGTTTTTTTTGTTGAAGATCTTGTCTAAAGTAATTATTTGTGTTGTTCAAGTTTTAATGGCAACAGAAATCGATCTGTTTGCCGCTTTCAGACATTTATTTTGTATGTTTAGCACTAAATACCTAACCATGGGTAAAAAGTTAACCTTTTTACCCATGGTTAAAAAGAGCTCCAGACTGCATCCCTACAATTGGGTACATGCACGCAGGGGATGTGTTCAGCAACATACCTGGCTTGGAGACTCATGGCCTTGGAGGAGAACTTTGGCAGTGAGAGGAGGTGGCAGCTGGGTGCTCACAATCCTAAAAGGACAAAACAAAGTCACCCATGAGCTGAGGATCATTGACTGAAGCTCGGGTTCAGGCTCCTGTCAACCAGTGCAGGAGGACAGGCAGAGCGCACAGTGACACTGACTCGTGCTGAGAGTCCTGCTTGCACACGTGAGATTACTGCCTTAAAAATGCCTGGCCAGCCTCTGTCAGACACATGTGGCACATTTTCACCACTCGTAGAAGGCATTACAGGAACAGTCTATGCCAAAGAAAAAAAGGTGCTTGAATGTTACTGCCAAGAAATTGTCAGAATCCCCCACCTCCTGTCTTTCAAGGCCACCTTTGAGGCTTTCCTTGATGTCCTTCAGAGCCACATCTGCGGCATCGTCAGCTATGATCGGCTGCAAGAAGCCAGCATTTCTCATGGGAAATTCAGGCTCATTCTTCCGTGGACTTTCTACCAGCACAGACAGTGGTCCTGGCCAACAAGTCAGTCAAAAATACACACACAGACACACGTGTGCACTGTATTTGCCAGACTGCAAAGAGAACACTAAGGGGAAAGAATAATATTCACACATCCTTCTTTTCCTTGGTGGCTCTCCCTTAAAAAGCCTAGGAAGTT